AAAGGCCTAAAGAAAGAATTTTCCATTACTTGGCAACAAGCTAAGGACATTATAAAGAGATGTCCTACTTGTTCTTTCTATAATCAAACACCGTTGCCTGCAGGGAGTAACCCAAAGGGTACTAAGAGAAATGAAATCTGGCAGATGGATGTGTTCCACTTTATGGAATTTGGTAAATTAAAATATGTACACCACACCATAGACACGTATTCAGGTTTTCAATGGGCTACTGCCCTGAGCTCAGAAAAGGCTGATTCAGTAATCACACATTTATTGGAAGTTATGGCCATCATGGGTATACCTGCGCAAATAAAGACAGATAATGGTCCAGCATACGTATCTAAGAAAATGAAATGCTTTTTTGATTATTATAATATAAAACACATTACAGGTATACCAAATAATCCTACAGGTCAGGCAGTTATAGAAAGATCAAATCGTACTATAAAGGATATGCTGAACAAACACAAAGGGACCGAAAATACCCCCAGAAACAGATTACATAATGCTTTATTAACCTTGAATTTTCTTAACGCTAATGAGAAAGGAACGACAGCAGCAGAGAGACATTGGATAATGGAAAAGTCTGCTGAACTAAATCAACCGATTTATTTCAAAGATGTGCTGACCTCTCAATGGAAGCCAGGAGATGTGCTACGTTGGGGAAGGGGTTTTGCTCTTGTTTCCACAGGAGAAGAAAAATTGTGGATACCATCAAAATTAATAAAGTTTCGATTTGAAGAGGAGAAACCTCTTGGAAAGGAGAAATGACAACTTATCCACAATGACGATATTCATACAGGTGGTAAGAAAAACATATAGAATGGGGGCAGGGTTCTGTTCTTATCTCCACAGGAAAACACTCATCTTTGAAAAATTCAAGGGACCCTGGATATTTGGATACTGACAGATGGAAAAATACCTGCCCAATAGGAAATATCAAGAAAACTGAAAGGGTTGTGTAAGTAATATTAAACCATATTTCTAAAATTATAAAGCTGGTTTTGAAGTTGGACTCTGGCTCAGTCCCTCTCCAATTCCAAGCCTGTTAGTAAGAGAAAAACCCAGAGTTTCTGGAGTTTCTGTCTCATGTCAAGAGCCATGATATGGGACAGAAAGTAATATGAGTTTAGAAAACATCTTTGCTTTTCTTCATATCTATCATACTTTTCATTGAACATATCTATCATGCCTTTCAGTGAATATGTATACATATGTCTATAAATGTCTATATGATTAATGTTTAAGTTTTTCACAATGAACAATGAGTTTTTGCTGAAGTGACATTTGAAGTTTCCAGGAAGAAGATGGGGCCCCATAACAACAACTCCACCTGGTTGATATGACGTCATGATACTGATAGCACTACTACAAGACCTGCTTTGGGTACCAGCTGCACAAGACAGTTCCAACTTGGCTAGCTGAAATGGTGCACATCTTATACAACATTTTGGCCAGACCTGCAGAAAATACTCAGAGACTATTGGCAATTTTAAAAGACATTGATCTTGAAATTTAACCATCATTTTACTTTCACAGGATCCCCCAGAAAGAACGTCGCCCCCATGACTGCTGGAAGTAATTCTAGAGGACGACGTCCCCTCTCCCAGTATAGTTTGCCCTTGGGTTTAGGGACATCATTTAGGGGTTGATTATAATTAGTATGTGATTGAGGGTTGGAGGAGGAATTTTATACACTCAGGGATCAATTTAAAAAGAAAAGAGGGATGATGGGATAATAGATTTGTAATTGTGAGTTACTGTCTTTAGACAAATACATTGGTATAGATTCTTGTATATTGATACAAAGTTAAATTACATTGACTATTGTACGCATGCATGTTTCTACCTCTGTTTAAAACATTTTTTATGTATTGACATATATTGTATATATTTACCATATTGCAGTGTACATTTCTACCTCTGATTAAGATACTTATATAATGATTGTGTATTGATATATATTTACCTACTGCAATGTATATTTGTACATTGTTTATTTTTGGAGGTCATTGTCCTCATTTGTTTCACAGTAGTTTATTTTCTTAGTCTTTAAGTTAGATAGATATTGAGAATTATAGATTAATAGTCATCTAAGTTTGTCATTTATAATTAGACTAATCAGGTTCTTTAGATATATAGAGATTATACTCAGTATAGATAGATAATCTTCAACTTCTTCAAGGAGCAGTAGAAAATGGCCTTTAATCTAACTCAGAGTTTTGTGGTAGTGAGACACAATTGCTCCTGGCAACACCGCAAAGACACTCCACCTGGAGCTTTTCTTTTTGGCAGAACTGGCCTTTGGGCAAAAACATGCCCATACCTCAACCACTGACAGAGATACAGAGCATGCATCAATGGATAAAACAGGGCTGTCATATCCTGCCAAGACAGGGTAAGATAGTTTTGAAAAGTTGCTTGCCTTTCAAAATGGTATGCCAGTTATGTTAGGCCTTAGCCAAAGTTGGTTGCTTCAACGCTGCTAACGTGATTTTGGGTGATTGCCCAGGTAGCCAGTTGTCTCTGTGATTTGTTGCATGTTTTGGAAGTTGTTTTACTGAACTTCCAAATTACCCAGATAACATTATTTCCCTTCTCAGATCTTTGATGGGGTTGAAAACTATATAAATGTAGTTACTTTCTCTCATGACTTGGCCAAGTTATTTATTATACAAGACTTAAGCTAGTTAGAATAGGATATTTGTACTTATTGTATATAATTTCATAGTAGGTTTAGAACTCTCTTATTTAAACAAAAGGGGCACGTGTTGCGGGAGGTCCTCCCACTCCTCCAGCCTATCACCGCTGAGATACCAGCCCATTGGGGCGTGGTCTCTCTCCCTTTAAAAAAGCGGCCACTTCCCTCTCCTCTCTCTCTTCACTTCCTGCTCCGCAGGCGACTAGACTCCTTTCCTGGTTGCCTAGAGGGCTGTTGCCTGGGACAGTGATCTGTAAGTTTTTCCCCTTTAAATAAATACCACTCTAATAATCATAATCCCAAATTGGTGTAGCATTGTTTGTGACTTATGCCTTCAATGCACAAAACTTAAGTCCAAAAGGATTAAAGACCTTAATATAAATCTGACCACACTGAACCTGATAGAAGAGAAGGTGGGAAGTAGTCTGCAACACATGGGCACAGGAGACCACTTCCTACATATAACCCCAGGAGCACAGACAATAAGAGCAACAATGAATAAATGGGACCTCCTGAAACTGAGAAACTTCTGTAATGCAAAGGACACTGTCATTAAGACAAAAAGGCAACCTACTGAATGGGAGAAGATCTTTACCAACCCCGCATCAGACAAAGGTCTGATCTCCAAAATATATAAAGAACTCAAGGCACTAGACATTAAAACTCTAATTAATCCATTAAAAAAAGGGGTACTGAACTGAACAGAGAATTCTCACAGAAGTTCAAACGGCCAAAAGACAGTTAAGGTGATCCTCAACCTCCTTAGCGATCAGGGAAATGCAAATGAAAACAACTTTGAGATACTATCTTACACCTGTCAGAATCACTAAAATCAAAAACATCAATGATAGCCAATGCTGGAGAGGATGTGGAATAAGAGGAACACTCATCCATTGCTGGTGGGAATGTAAACTTGTGCAACCACTTTAGAAATCAGTGTGGCAGTTTCTCAGGAAACTGGGAGTCAACCTACCTCAGGATCCAGCAATTCCACTCTTGGGATTATACCCAAGAGGTGCCCAATCATACTACAAAAGCATTTGTTAAACTATGTTCATACCAGCACTATTTGTAATAGCCAGAACCTGGAAACAACCTAGGTGCCCCTCAATGGAAGAATGGATAAAGAAGGTGTGGCACATATACACTTTAGAGTTCTACTCAGAGGTAAAAAACAATGACATCTTGAATTTTGCATGCAAATGGATGGAAATAGAAAACACTTTACTGAGTGAGATAACCCAGACCCAAAAAGATGAATATGGTATGTACTCACTCATAAGTGGATTCAGGCCATAAACAAAGGACATTGAGCCTATAACTCATGATCCTAGAGAAGCTAAATAAGAAGGTGAACCCAAAGAAAAATATATATTTATCCTCCTGGATATTGGAAGTAAACAAGATCGCTGGGCAGAAGTTGGGAGCACAGAGGTGGAGGCAGGTTGGGGGAAAAAGAGGTGGGGAGAGAGAAGGGAGAAGGGGAGGATTGGAGAGAGCTTAGAGGAATGGGATGGTTGATATGGAGGAAGGGTAGATATGGGAGCAGGGAAGAAGATATCTTAATTAAGGGAGCCATTGTAGGGTTGGCAAGAGACTTGGCTCTAGAGGGGTTCCCAGGTGTCCAAGGGGATTTCCCCAGCTAGGTCCTTGGGCAGCAGTGGAGAGGGTACCTGAACTGGCCTTCTCCCATAGCCACACTGATGAATATCTTGCATATCACCATAGATCCTTCATCTGGTGATGGATGGAGATAGAGACAGAGACCCACAGTGGAGCATTGGACTGAGCTCCCAAGGTCTAGTTGAGCAGAAGGAGGAAGAATATGAGCAAGGAAGTCAGGACCATGAGGGGTGTGTCCACCCACCAATGTGGTGGGACTGATCTAATGGGAGCTCATCAAGGCCAGCTGGACTGTGATCAAACTGGACTCTCTGAATGTGGCTGACAATGAGGGCTGACTGAGAAGCCAATTATAATGGCACCACATTTTGATTCTACTGCATGTGCTTGCTTTTGGGAGCCTAGTCTGTTTGGATACACACCTCCTAGACCTGGATGGAGGTGGGAGGGCCTTGGACTTCCCACAGGGCAGGACACCCTGACTTCTCTTAAGACTGGAAAGGGAGGGTGAGGGTGGTTAAGGGGAGTGGGAGGGAAATGGGAGAGGTGGAGGAGGTTTAAATTTTTAATAAGTAATTAAAATATAATAAAAAAAGAAAACCTTCCCACTCATTTTCTGAGCGATGACCACTCACTGAGAACTTCCTCGTCCATAGACCAAGGAGTTATTGGTTACCTTTATGAGATTCTTTGTCTTTGGAATTAATTTGAGTGTTCATCATCAGCTGAAGAAAATCTACTCTGTGCTGGAAGCAAAAGAGAAGTTGCAAAAATAGAAGGTCAATGGTAAGGTCAGAGGTAGATCAGGAGTGCAGAAGCTCATCCTTCTTTCTGAGAATGTAGATCCCTTAAATTCACACGTGGTTAGTCTTGCTTGATTTCTTAAAGAACAGAAGGAACTGTAGCTGAACCCGGAAGCAATCCAGCTATTTATAAACACATTGCAATAAATTACAATAGATATAATTTTAAACAATAGCATTGATTTTTTGAAAATGTTTTTGTAGGAGATGAAAATAGTATTTCCCTTGTTTTAATCAGTTTTATCTGTTCTTAGAGATTGTCATAGATGTATACAATGAGATACAGTCATACCCACCCCATCATTTCCTCCATTTGATTCTTCTAGATCCCTTGTAACATTTCTTCTTCCAAACTTCATCACCCCTTTTTTTAATAACCCACTGAGTCCAAGTGCTGCCCATATGTCCCTGTATGTCGGGCCATTCACTGGTGGATGAAAAACCTATTGGTGGTTATACCCTCTCTCTGCAGCCATTAAGTGCCAAGAGTTCCCACCGAGGTGCAGCATTTGCAGAGGTCCTTCCTCATCTATGTTGGAGATTTGGTGGTGTTAACTTGTGCTGGTCCTGTGCCTTGCCATTTTTTCTTAATTTTAATCCTTACAAAGGACACTCTTCATTTGTTTTGCTAAGGGTTAATTCCTGACTTATTCTCAACCAGTGTTTCAAAATTCCAAATTTTCCTCTCCCAGAAATAAAAATATCCCTTTTCTCTCTCTAAATATAACCTTTTCTATCTACTTTTATTGATAGATGAAGTGAAACACACAGCTCACATGTTCACAGCCCAACATATTACAAACCCTGTACCTCTCAGGAGACCATCACTTTTTACCTTCTCATCAGAGTTCAGCCGGTTTTCCTTCATTCTAGCCACAAATTTTTTGAAGAATGCTATCGAATCCTTTGGGTATCTGGTGACATTTAACATCTCATATATTGGTGTAAGAAATGGAAAGAGTACTGGAAAGGATAGACAAATAATAAATTTTAGTGGAAATACAGGTTTTATGTAGTGAAATCATGAAACAATCTGAAGAATAAGTCATCAGTGTCTCAACCAAACCATTCTCTCTGTGACGTTGCTCACACTGGGTCACCACCATAATGCTCCTTCTGCATTGAGGAGTAGTGAAAGGAACAATTCTGACTCTTGGATTTAACTCTGCTCCTGTAGTTTGTGTGGATCCAAAATATAGACAGGGCCACTGACATGGTTCAAGAGCTAACAGGACCTGCAGAAAAGCCTAACAACCTGAGTTTGATCACTGCATCCAACACTGTGGAAGTAGAGAATCAACACATGCCCACACTGTGGAAGTAGAGAATCAACACATGCCATATAAACACCAAAGCACATGTCCACACACATAGACAAATAAATCAATAAATTTCTTCTTAAGCTAATAAATAAACAAGTAGAGACATAGATAGCTTTCTTATTAGCTGACAAGGAGTAAAGAAAGAACAGCCAAAATAGCATTTGTTTTTCAGCTGGCTTGATATGAACAACACTAGTACCGGAAAGGATATTTGGATAATCAGATGCAAATTAATTATAAAATATCCTTATCATATAATAATCTTACTAAATAACCAACAGTTCAAGAAATCCAGCAGGATACTGGAAAATTTATTGAGATATAGTTTTGTGGCAGAGTACTTGCCTAGCATGTGTGAGATCTTGTGATCTTCTTCAAGTAGCAAAAGATACAAAATGTCTTGAGAGAGTGTGAAAAAAGATAAAGCAAGACCATATAGAGAAAAGGTGCAGAGAGGCTTATGTTGTAGGATCATCTTTTTGTACACTGTGAAGATGTGTCTCTTCTAAGGCCCTTTTTGATTGGCTTAATAAAGAACTGAATGGCCAATGGCTAGGCAGAACTTCCAGTAGGAGAGAGGCACTCTGGGAAGAAGAGAGGTGTAGTTCACCAGCAAGATGTGGGGGCAGAGGGTTGGAATTGGGAGTTAGACGTACATATGGAGCATAGGTAATGAACCATGTGGTAGAAGGTGGTTTAATAGAAATGGATTAATTTAAGTTATAAGAGCTAGTGGGAAACATGTCTAAACTAAGGCCAAGCTTTCATAATTAATAAGAAGTCTCCATGTCATTATTTGTGTTCTGGCCGTCCAAATAAAATCCACGGGGATGCCCCCAGCTAGGTCCTTGGACAGCAGAGGAGAGGGTACCTGAATGGTCCTTGCCCCACTATCACGCTGATGATTATCTCGAATATCACCATAGAATCTTTGTCCAGCGACGGATGGAGATAGAGACAGAGACCCTCATCAGAGGAACGACTGAGCTCCCAAGGTTCCGTTGAAGGCAGAAGAAAGGAGAAGTCGAGCAAAGAATCAGGACCGCGAGGAGTTGCTCCACGAATTAAGGCAGTGGGCCTGTTCTAATGGGAGCTCACCAAATCCAGCTGGACTGGGTGTGAATGAGCATGTGATCAAACCAGACTCTCTGATTGTGGCTGACAATGGGCACTGACTGAGAAGCTATTGATAAAGGCACTGGGACTTGTTTTTACGTCATGTTCTGGTTTTTTTGGGACCCTAGTCTATATGGATGCACACTTCCCTAGGCCTGGATGTAGGGGGGAGGGTCTTGGACTTCCTACAGGGCAGGGAGGGTTCCCTGCCTCTCTCAAGCAGGGTGGGAGAGGGAAGAAAGGGTGTAGCGGAGCAGGAGGGGATTGGGAGGAGGGAAGGAATGTAAATATTTGAATGGAAAGACTAAAAATAAATAAATATATAAAAAGTAAAAAATCTAGGGAAAGGCTTACAGCCTTAATTTTTTAAAAAGATTTATTTATTTATTTTGTTTACAGTAGTCTGTCTGCATGTGTGCCTGCAGGCCAGAAGAGGGAACTAGATTTCATTACAGATGGTTGTGAGCCACCATGTGGTTGCTGGGAATTGAACTCAGGGCCTCTGGAGGAACAATCAGTGCTCTTAACCTCTAAGCCATCTCCCTAGTCCCACAGCCTTAATTTTTTATATCTCAAATATCAGACTTTACAGTGTAAAATAAAATTTTAAAACAACTAACTCCAGGGCAGGAGTGATGACTCTTTGGTAAAATACTTGCTGTGCAAGCACCAGATCTGAGTTTGATACCCAGCACCTCTGTAAAGCCAAGGTCAAAGACAGCTGACCAATCTCAGATAGAAAAAAAAAATCACATGATCGTCCTCAGTTCTAGAGTCTAGCCTATAATGAAAAATGCAAATATGTGAAAGGTATAAGTGTGGATATGGGATAACGCTCAAAAGGAGACAAGGAGAGGATGATACTTGGTGTTGAGGATGGAATGTAGGGAAAAGGACACAAGAGCTGTGTATGGAAAAGTAATTGACAGAGAAAATATTAAAACCCACAAAGAAGCACCACTGCTAACTGTACACAGCACATACACACAACAAAAAAATTACTACAGGGCCTATAGAGATTGCTCAACAGTTAGAACTGGCTGCACTTGCAGAGGACAAAGATTTGATTCCCAACACCCATGTGGCTTCTCTTAACCATGCATAACTCCAATTCCAGGAGATTTAAATCCCTTTTATGGTCTAGGCAGGCCCTTAATTCATATGGTACACATATGTGTAGGTAAAACATCCAATCACATAAAATAAAAATAAATAAATCTTTAAAAAATGTTAAAATAATTCAGCTATGTGAGAGAGATGATCTAAAAGCAGACATTAATATATCTAGCTTAGTTTTTTAAATTGAATTAGGATTAAGGAAATTCTAATCAAAACCACAGGTCCAGCCTGCAGCATATCTACTAAGCAGCAATGATCAAACTCATAGGAGAGCCAAGTGTTGGGTGGGACATGGAGAACTTGGAACTCTCCTGCATTTACAGAAGACATAGAAAAAGCTGCATCTACAGTGGAAAACATATGTTTAGTTGTTTAATATGTTAAAATGGAGTTATTTTGTAATGCAGTAACGACAATTCTGAATATATCCCAAAACAAATATTTAAACGTAACCTTGTATTGAAATGCTCATGGCAGCAAAATTCATGGCAAAGATATAAAACTAACTTCAATGTCTATAAACTAATATAGAATATTACTCATTCATAGACATAGGAGACAGTTACAGTAGTGTCACTTAATAGTGTTTTAAATGACAGAGGCCTGTCACAGAGACTGTATAGTCTATGAGCCCATGATGTAAAATACTCAGAATATGTAAATATAGGGAAAGTGAATTGGTGGTTGCTTGGGTCAAGGCTGCTTGAAGAACGATGGTGCAAATACGCAGCATGGCTAGAACAGAGTCCTCTGCAGTTGACATTGGTATCAGGCCATATGGATCATCAGTCAGTGCAGACCCTAGAGTGATCAGAGAGCTGAGAATATGTGACTGTTGAATGCTGAGTCCTACATGGAGCATTTTTTATCAACACCCCCATCACTCCAGGCTCAAGGAACATCACAAAAACAGATGTGGGGGTAAAGTAAGGGCAGGACAGGTGGTGTGATGATGTGGGATTCTGTTCTGTGTGCTATGAATGTTTTATTACCATTGGTTAATAAAGAAGCTTCTTTGGGCCTGTGGCAGGGCAGAATATAGCCAGATGGGAAATATGAACAGAGATATATAGAGAGGGTAGGCAGAGTCAGGGAGATGCCATGTATGTACCAAAGGAGACAGACCCTGTAACTTTACCTGGTAAGCCACAGCCTTGTAGCAGAATACAGAATAATAGAAATGGGTTAATTTAAGACGTAAGAGCTAACTAATAAGAAGCCAGAGCTAATAGGCCAGGATGTAATGTAATTAATATGGTTTCTGTGTCATTACTTGAATCTGTGTGGTCAGGAAACCAACAAGTAGTCTCTGTTTACAGTGTGAAATACTATATCCTAGACATGGCCTGGCCCACTCTCGATCTGATCACCTACATGAGATCACACCAATAATACTGGTCAACATCCTAGGAGGCAGAGATTGCTGGACTTACTGTTTGGCCAAAACAAGGGATGGGACATTAAATTGAGAGAAAGATGTGTTGGTGTATCTGGGGGAGGTGGGGGTGAGAATTAGGGGAGGGTATAATCAAGATAGATTGTATACCTTTATGTTATTGTCAAAGGATAAATAATAGAATTCTAAAATAAAGAGAACAGTGTCTTAAGCCTTTAATCCCAACACCCAGGAGGTTGAGGTAATGGGATCACTGTAAGTTCAAGGCCAGCCTGGTCTACACGGCAACTTTCAGGCAAGTTGAGCTACCCAGTGAGACTCACTCTAAATGAAAATTAAGTTCAGGAACAAAAGAAAGGCAGTACATGTCTTTGTACCTTAAATATTGGATTGTGCCTTTATATACAACATGATAAGTTTGTGAATTACATGTCAGGTGAATTATATACCAATAGTGCTGTTAGCTTTGTTAAGTGTGGAAGAGAAAGGCTGAATTTCAAACATGGCAATAGACAGGTGCACTGGGTCAAAAGGAAGAAGAACCACCATACATACCTATTGACATAAGTAATGGACTAAAAAAATCTAATCTTAATAGCTTCTTGGTCTTTTCCATAAAAGGATCATTTGGGTTGTTGAGGGAATCGACGTTCACACCAAATGCCGTGCTCGTAATGACATCCAAGCTGTAGGCCCCTAACACTCTGAGGAAATAAAGATGTGGGAATTTACCACATTCAGCAAGAAGCTTGAAATAATTTGTATTTTGGGCAAGACTGGTGAAACCACCTCAGTTGGCCAAGCACCTTCCCCTACTATCTACCCTTTACCCTTGCGACCTTGATACTATCACATTTCTTTCTCAACTGTACATTTGTCATCTAGTGTCTAAAAGGGAAGAAGGAGCAGCTGGACATGTGAGACACACAGGATGACCCTTCTGCTTCTGCTGCCCTTCCTCTCCCAGAACCACAGTGGATGTACCACTACTCACTCTTTCAAAGTAAGAGGCTTGCCTTTCTCTGCCTCTCTTCTCAAGTATTTTACCAAAATATCTCCGTAGTGTTCAATGATGGGGAACATCTAGGCACAAAACACAAAGGCACCCATGGTTGTTAGGTGTGGAGACTCAAGTCACACAAACATTTCAGTTAGAAGTCCTTTTAGTCACCTCTTTGAGTTTTCCACTGGTGAAGGTGGGAGACAGCAAGGCTCGAATTCTCTTCCACTCCTCATCCTTAGCTGATGAGAGGGCTTTACTCATTATCCCCACTGGGCCAAAACTCTAGAGTCAAAAAATATAAATATTGTTCTCTGTAAGTCCAGACCTTACTATGGTTGCAAAGTGCTAGGGAGATATTGGTTTATAACAATTTGTTTGTGACTGTTTATTATAGATCAAGCCTCATCCTACATGCAAAAATGGTCAGAATTTCCTCACAATCTTTAAGACATTGGGTGCTCACTGGGCTGCCTGTTGAACTTGTAAACATATTTATTCCAGGATCCTTGTGAATTTAAATCTCCCTGTGGTGTAAAAATTAGTTCCACGGATGGGGAGGGGTTAGAGAAGACAGGAACAAAACATAGTAAATTCTCCAGAGTAATGTAGATGGCAAATGGCTTGGGGACAAATAGAAAGTGAACTTTGTATCACACAAGTTCTCCAGCTCTATATTTACAGCATAGGTAATGTGAAAATTGATGCTTTGTTATGGTTTGTGATCGTGTGTGCATATGCATGCTCATGTATGTGTTTGTCTGTGTCTGTATGTGTGTGTGTGTAGAGTAGAACACTGGTGTGCATTCTTATTTGGAGAACAGAGGTCTGACATCTTCCTCTATACCTCTACTGTATTTTTTTATGCAGGGTGTCTCAATGAATATAGAATGGTCTAGTTTGGCTAGAGTAGCTAGCCAGCAGGCCCCTAGGACTCACCTATTTCCAAATACTGCTCAGAAATAACATATACGTGCTGCTCTGCCCAGGTTTTACGTTGGTGACCTACACTCAGGTCCTTTACCGATAGAGTTATTTCCCTAGCCTGAGATACTTAAAGGATTTGATCATTGGTTTTTTTTTCTAGATTTATTTTAGTATTGTTTGTATGTATGCATGCATGTGTGTATGAATGTATGTACATATGTATGCAGTGTGATCAGAGGTCAGAGGAGTGAGTTGGATCTCCTAAAGCAGGAGTTACAGGTGATTTGAGCTGCTGGATGTAGATGTAGGCAACCAATCCCCCATCCTCTTTTAGAACTTTCAGCCACTATGTCATCTCCCTAGATGGTTTATTTGGTTTGGGGGTTGTTTGTTTAGGAATAGTGTTATAAGAAATAATTTTCCCTAATTTTTCTTCAGTTATAAAAGGGAAAATATAATTCTATTTCCCTGGTGGGAACTTTATTCTATTTTCCACATTTATTCTTTATACTAACGTTGAATTTCACAACTGCCCTTATATTAAAGCACTCAGCACAACAGAAAGAAGTGGAACTGTATTCCCTTAATGAAGGGCAGCAGTTTCAACTAGGCCTTCAGCCAACTCCACCACATGACCAAAAGCTGAATGGGGACCAGAGAGATAGCTCAGTAGGTAAATGTGCTTGCTGCCAAGCCCAACAACCTGAGTTCATTCCCCAGGATGCAGGGGGTAGAAAGAGGGAACCACAAGGTTTCTCCAGACAGAGCAGTGGGATAGCCATGATTTAAAAAGAGCGAACATTGAACTAAGTATCATACCTCACAATAATTTACCATAAATAAAATCATATATTTAAGAGCTAATCTCAAAAGGATATTTTTTTTTTACACAAGAAAACCCACACAAAAGGGCCAGGTGACTAGTCATCAACTTGACACTGTCCACACAATACACTGAGAAGGAAAATGGATACAAAATGAGAGAAGAAGGCAGGCTGTATATGGAGGGCAAGGAGCCGCGCTCTATTATGTGTGTTTGCCACTGCACGAATATAGATCTGTGGAAAACTGCACCATTCCACACAGATATAAGAAAGAACCCATGAAATAGGAAATGTAAACACAATCTAGATGACAACAGTGTACATCTACAAGTAGATACAATAATATAGTATATTTATACTTCCTCACTAGTAAAATGAATGCCCCGACCCTGCTTGTATATTATTGTGGAAACCACTGTGAATCAACATTTATTTCTTTTTTAAAATTCACTAAGTAGCCAAAGAGGTAGCAGTGCATACTCTTATACCCAGCAATCAGGAGGCAGAGACAGGCAGATCTCTATGAGTTTAAGACAGCCTGGCCTACAGAGTAAGTTCCAGATTAGTCAGAGCTACACAGAGATACACTGTCTCTAAAAAAACCAAAGAAAACAAACAGAATAATTTCAATAGGTAAAAATAAAGGTTTGTATTCTTAAAAGGGGGAGTCCGGGTGATGGTTCAACAGTTAAGGGTGCTTGCTGATCTTCTGGAAGAGCCAGGTCCCAGCACCCATGCCAGGCCCCTCCAACTGCTTGGAACACTAGTCTAGTGGATCTCAACCCCTTTTTTGGCCTCCACAGGAACCTAACATGTATGGCATTTACTTTTATAGATACATGCAGTGGGACAATGGTCTTGTACTCTTTAAAGGTTGTCAGTTGTACTGGTTTAATAAAATGCTGATTGGTCAGTAGTCAGGCAGAAAGTATAGTTGAAGCAACCAGCCAGTAAGTAGAGGCGGGGTGATGAGAAGAGGAGAATTCTGGGAAGAGCAAAGACTCAGTCTGCATTCCTCACCCAGACACAGAGGAATCAGGATGAGACTGCCTCACTAATAGAAGGTACCAAGCCATGCGACTAGCACAGACAAGAATTATGGACTACTGTAAGGTGTAAGAATTAGTTTACAAGGAAGCCTGAGATAATATGTCAACCAGTTTATAATTAATATAAGCCTCTGTGTGTTTCTTTGGGACTGTGCGGCTGCACTCTGTCAACAGACAAACATATATACATATAAATAAAAATAGCAAAAACAAGTCTTTAAATTTTTTAACTTAAACATTTACCTACCCGTCGGTTTGTGAACACAGAATAGCAGTCCTTCACTAGTACATTTTTGATCATCTCTGTGTCTGTGATAGCTAACACAGGTGTTCGACCATCATGTAACCTGGGCGAGGAAAACAGCTCATTAACCCAAGCTAGGTTATAAAGTGGGAGCCCAAATCCTCACTTTGATTCCAATGTTACATGACCCTCACTCTGGTTATACAACAAGTTGTCACACTAATTCCAAGTCCAGCTTAGGGAGTCTGACCACAGATCCATGGAGTCTTTGTAAAGTGACAGGTGATGTCATTGAAGACACAACGAGTCACTTAAAGACAAAACAGTTTGTAGTGGAAATCTCGTAGAGTCATTGTTTCTTCGGTAAACATTAGGATGAAAAAGTTGTTTCTCACTGTATGTATGATAATGGCAGAATATATTAGTTTCTTGTTCAAGGCTCCAAGACCTTGAGGAAATCATAGTAGGGAACAGTGATTGTTTTCTATGACTTATAGTTGTTTTCTCTATGGAATTTCCATCCATTGCATGTCTTCGGTCACAGTACTATCCAGGCATGCTTGGAGGGCTTGAATTACTGGCTACTGCAACAATGCACAACAGGGACTTGATCTGCAGGGGTGTGATTATTTCTTTCAGAGAACATGTAGAATTGATCAAAGCAGATTTGGCATGAGGATCTTGTTATACCCCAAACACAACTTTGTGTAGAATCAATAAATACATTTCTGAACTGAGATTTGAGGTTTAGTTCACAATAGCTGTTCCTCCCTGTTGCGAGTGAGCCTAAAATTAAATTGTGGAATTTCTTTCCTTTGAACATCCCACACAGCAGGAAGCACCAGACATGTGGTGTCCAGTGTCATGGGTTCAGAGCTGAGAGAGGTCTCGATACTCCAGGACTGGTGATAGAGGATTCTCAGAGCAGGCAGTTCTTCAGGATAGGATCAGGACTTGGGGATTTCACCATCTCAGGAGCAGCAATATGCTGGTCACTTAGTGTTTGTTAAAAGGAAATGGAGTGAATGTGAGAGAAAAACAGCTTACAGAACTGTCGGTAATAGTTACCAGACATTGTTATTGGTTTCATGCAACTCCCTTCAATGAAAACTTGGGGTATGGAAGCCAGTGTTGAGAACCTAATGAGCTCATGTGAGAGAGGAGCCTATACATCCTAGAGAGGAGTCAAGTTTTGCTCTTTATGTAATTTGATCTCAAATGCTCTGCATCCACCGCAGAGTGAGGAATCACAGAAATGTCCATTTGAATTTGAACAGGAAAGTAAAAAGGAAAACATGCAGGCTAGCAATTGTCAGTCAGCAGAGGAGAATGTTTCCTTACAGGAAGACAGGAATGTTGTTTCAGAGAAAGAAGAAAGTGAGGAGGGTCAAAGTAATGGAGATGAGACACTGAAAGTAACAATTAATAAATGGGACCTTTTGAAACTGAGAAGCTTCTGTATGGCAAAGGACATGGCCAAAAAGACAAAATGGTAGCCTATAAAATGGGAAAAGATCTTCACCAACCCCACATTGGACAGAGGACTGATTTCCAAAATTTATAAAGAACTCAAGAAACTAGATATCAAAATACTAAGTAATCTAATTGAATACTGGTGTATGGATCTAAAGATAACATTCCCAACAGAAGAATCTAAAATGACTGAAAGACACTTAAGGATTTTTTTTAACATCCTTAGTCATCACAAAAATGCAAATCAAAACAACTCTGAGATACCATCTTATCCCTGTCAGAATAGCTAAGATCACAAATACCGTTGACAGCTTATACTGGAGAGGATGTAAGTGGAAACTCATCCATTGCTGGTGGGAATGCAAACTCATGCAGCCACTTTTGAAATCAGTATGGCAGTTTCTCAGAAAATTCAGAATCAACCTACCTTAAGACCTTACCAAGAGGATTGGGAACCTGAAATGACCCTATCCTAGAGCAATACTGACAAATATCTTGCATATCATCATAGAATCTTCATCTGGGGATGGATACAGATCGAGACAGTGACCCACACATGAGCACTGGACTGAGCTCCCAAGGTCCCAAGGAGGAGCAGAAGGAGGGAGAACATGAGCAAAGAATTCGGGACCACGAGGCGTACATCCACCCACTGAGACAGAGGAGCTGATCTATGGGGAGCTCACCAAGGCCAGCTGGACTGTGACCGAAAAAGCATGGGATAAAACCGGACTCTCTGAACATGGCGAACAAAGAGGGCTGATGAGACACCAAGGACAATGGCAGGGGGTTTTGATCCTACTTAATGTGCTGGCTTTGTGGGAGCCTAGCCAGTTTGGATGTTCACCTTCCTAGATATGGACGGAGAGGACCTAGGACTTAACACAGGGCAGGGAACCCGGACTGCTCTGTGGACTGGAGAGGGAGGGGGAAAGGAGTGGGGGGAGGGGGAGAAGGGTGGGAGGAGGGGGAGAAGGGTGGGAGGAGGGGGAGAAGGGTGGGAGGAGGGGAAGGGAAATGGGAGACTGGGAAGAGGTGGAAACTTGTTTTTTGTTTATGTTTTTTTTCTTCTTTTCGCAATAAAAAAAAAGACCTTACCATACCACCCTTAGTCATATACCCAATGGATGCACAATCATACCATAAGGGTATTTGCTCCACTATGTTCATAGCAGCATTATTTATAATAGCCAGAACCTGGAAACATCCTAGTGGCCCCTCAACTGAAGAGTGGATAAAGAAAATGTGGTACATTTACACAGTGAAGAACTACTCAGCAGTAAAAAACTGATATTTTGAAATTTGCAGACATATAGATGAACTAGAAAAAAGTGTCCTGAGTTAGTTAACACAGACACAGAAAGAGAAACATGATATGTAGTCACTTAGAAGGGGATATTAGACATAAAGCAAAGGATAAATAAGTTACATTCCTCAGCCCAGAGAAGCTAGGTTAAAAGGAGGATTCTAAGAGGGACACACGTGTAGGACACCAGGAAGGAGAAAAGTGAAGATCTAATTGGTGAACTGAGAGGGGATATAAGGGAGGGATTGAGGATAGGGACATGAGGGATTGAGATAGCCAAGTTGGGGGAGGGACAGAGAAGGAGAGCAATGAAAGAGTATTGTGATAGAGGGAGTCAATATGGGTTTAGAGAAAAGCCTGTTGCTAGGGAAACTCCTAGGAATACACAAGGATGACCCCAGCTAAGACTCTTAGCAATAGTGGAGAGGATGCCTGAACTGGCCTTGCCCTGTAAGAAGATGAGTGATCTCCCTAAGACCCATCATAAAATCTACATCCAGTAACTGATGGAAAAAGATGCAGTGATCCACAGCTAAGCACTGGGCTGATTTCCTGGAGTTCAGTTGAAAGAGGGAGGAGAGATCATATGAGCAAGAATGGTCAAGATCATCATGGGGAAAACCACGGAGACAGCCAACTTGTGCTAGCAGTAGTTCACTGACTCTCGACTGACATTTGGGGAACCTTCATGGGACCAAACTAGGCCATCTGAAAGTGGGTGACAGTTATGTGGCTTGCTCTGTTTGGGGTTACCCTAGCAGTGGGACCAGAACTTATCCTGTGTTTATGATCTGGTTTTTTAGATCCCATTACCAATGGTGGATTATCTTTCCCAGGAAGACTCAGGGGCGAGGGACTTGGTCCTGTCTCAACCTGGTATCCCAGATTTTGTTGACTCCCTAAGGGAGGTCTTATCTCCTCTGAGGGGTGAATGGAGGCTCAGATGGGGGGATCTTGGGAGGTGGGAGAAGGAAATTGATGGGGAACTGGGGTTGGAGTGTAAAATGATTTTTTAAAAATTAAATTATAAAGAGAAAAGAAAAAATAAAAATAACAGAGATTCCTCTTGTCTTCCTTCTTTAGATGACACAATCTTAGAGATTCAAAAGATTGAAACACTAGGTGCACAGATGCAAAAATTAAAGATGCAAATAGACAAACTCCAGAGACAAAGAATAAGAGAAATTAAAGGAGAAAACTTCCCAGGAGAAAAAAGGAAAGGAGAAGAAACTTGAAAAGAAATTTTCCCAGTAAAAAAGGGTAGTGTTTAATTAAAAGGCTTTTCCCTATAGAAGAAGGGAAAGTATATAATCAAGGCCTACAAATAAGAAGGCTTAAGAGATGAATATTGAAGGGAGAGAAAATCCTCTTTCCTGTGGATAGAGGAAGGGCAAAGGCCATATCCAATACAAAAAAGAATTCAGATCTGCTGGAACCCAGAGTTCTCTGGCTGGGTGATGCCTGTCAGTGCTTTCTGCAAGGGCCAGGAAGTGCAGAGAGACAACATCTGAATTCCAGAGAATGATGGGTGGGCTCTGCTGCTGCAGCCTGAGCTAGCACAGTTGGCTCAGAACTTAGAATTTTCTTGTTTAATTTTAGTTTAAAATTTTTTTTTTGTTTTTCCCTCAGAGAGGGAATAACTCAATATGAAATGTTCCTTCATGGGAAATGTTTTTTCTTCTGATAGTGGAAATAACTCATTATCAAGTATCCATTCAGGGGAGAAAACAATTGAACCAGCTTAACTTGTAGTACAGAAAACAGTTGTAATCATGGCATGAAGTACTAAGTCAATGCTGTTTAAATTTCCAGATGCATTAATTATTCATTATATAGAGGCTGTTCTCTTCTCTTGATTATCTGATTAATGCTTAAATGAATGTTCAGTTTTTATAGTAAATGACTTAAAGAAAAATTTATAATTTTCAGCTATATTACTGGGTATAATCTTGTCTAGTTATCACTAGTGTGTATTTGATTCTGCTCTTTACATTGCTTTCAAGACATTCTTTGTTAAATTCTATAAAATGTCGTACCTGAAGCAGAGCAGCTTTTTAGTTTCTTAACTAATATGGCTGTGGAGGTGAAGCTCATGGAAATAATATCTTACTGAAAAAGAGCCTACAAAAACTATTTTTCCACTAAATAAAATGCAGGTAAATTGTCCTACCCTGTTAATAATTGTCAGTCCAATTTAACATGTTTCTTGGGATCTAAATAAAGGATCATCTTTTTAAGATTTATAAAAAATAATCCATGGTTATTGCATTAAGTTAACTCTTATAATCAGATAGAGAATTTTTAAAAATGCTTTTATACATGACTTTGTAAAAAGGACAAAGAATATGTTCATATACAAGTTACACATATTCCTCAAACTGATTGTACCCACTCTGAGTTACACAGCCGAAATTAATATTCCTACAATTTCAGCACCCACTCATGAATGATGTTAGACATGAGATAAATTTCTAAAATTCATATTGAAAAAAATGTCAATAAAAACATAGCCTATTTAGATTGTACAGAAACAAGACAAGGCAGAAACTGTCTACACAAATTTTGATTGGGGCCAATGCTGGATTCCCAACTGCTCTGCCTTTAAAATCGTTCACTAATAAGCCTACATGGGTGGAGCAGTGGCCCTTAATTAAAACCAATTCCAGGCACTTGAGCAACTAGGACAAACAGTCAGATGTTAAACACATGAAAAAAACTACAAATACTTGTCATTCTCCTCTATTTGTAATAAAATAAATCTTAAAAATTGTGGTGATGACTTATTTAAAAAGCTGTAAACCAAGTAATTCAACCTATGGGTCCTTTATAGTCTAGAATTCCATTATTTTCTTAATTGCCTAAAGCTTGGGTTAGAATAGTTGTTAATTTAAAAGACTGATGTTTTTTGCTATTCCTTTGCAGCAACTAGATAAAGAAAAAATATGCTTTTACAGTTCCTACTTATAATAATGCCCAGCCTGATACAAATGGAGTAGGGAGGTGGTGGCGCACACCTTTAATCCCAGCACTTGTGAGGCAGAGGCAGGCATATTTCTGTGAGTTTGAGGCCAGCCTGGTCTGCAAGAGCTAGTTCCATAACAGGCTCCAAAGCTACAAAAAAACCATGTCTTGAAAAACAAACAAAACAAAAAACAAAACAAAACAAAAAAGGGTATAAGTGGAAAGTACTTCCCTAGGAAATGTTAAGTATTCCAACTTTATGTCCATTTTTAAACAGCTCTTTGGACTGATGAGGGAGGGGGACTTGATTGGGGGAGGGAAAGGGAAATGGGAGGCGGTGTCGGGGAAGAGACAGAAATCTTTAATAAATAAATAAATTAAAAAAATAAAAATAAACCATTGGAAGTAGTTCATCAACAATGTCCTTAATCCATTGTTTATTATTCTGTTGAAGGATCATTGATCACAGTGTGAACCCTGAGATTGTATTAAATAAAATCAACCTTTGGTCAAGAGTCAGAGCCAACAGCTAGTTGATAGGATGTAGTCAAGGAGAGTTATAGTGAGTCTGGCCAACAGATAAATGCACAGGAAATGGTAAGGGGGGGACACTTTCATTATGGTGGCCCTCTTTGTTTTGGGACAGAGAAAGCAGTGTTCCCTTTCTGAGACTGCAGCTGAGGTGAATGGTCAGCTGGTTGCTTCTCTGTCTTTTTGAGCTAGCAGGTTTTCACCCAAGAATCTGACTTGTGAGTATTTATTGGTAAAATTATAAGATTCAGATTTAATTTAAAAAGAGCATCATTGTACGGATAATGTCTTAATAGCTACCTCGGATGTCAATATCCTTGAAAAGGTGTTTACTGAGGTACCACAGATTTTTTCCTCAATGGACATTGGAAATTACTCCTGGAAAGTTCTAAGAGGAAGCTCTCTTAATTATTTAGGTTTAAATTAAGTAAACAGAGAAACTAGCCACAAAAACAAGATTTGAAGAGATTAATAACATATGCCTAATGAGTTTGAAAAATTTATTGAGAGATATTAATTGGTTGTACCCTACAATTAGACTGCTTACTCCAGAATTAAGTAGTTTATCTCTAATTTACAAAGTGACTTAGATTTTAACAGTCCCAGATATTTAACAACTGAAGCAGAAAAGGAGTTGGCCTAAGTAGAACAGAAATTGCAAGATATCTACAGAGATCAATTAGATCTCACGCATTGTATTTTATTAATTTTACCTTCTACTCATTCCTCTACCGGACTCATTATGCCAAGGGAAAATATTATTTTAGAATGTATATCATAATCAGAATGAAAATTTAAAATCCTCTACAGAAGAGGTTTCTAAATTAAATATAAAAGGAAGAATAAGATCCATTGTCAGAAATGGATCCAGCTGAGATTGCAGTATGTTATACAAATGTTGAAATAATGCAATGATGGGTAATTCTTGATGACTGACAGAGCCTGTAGCAATTATTTAGGTGAAATCAGCAACAGATACCCCCAAAGTAAATAACTTCAATTTACAAAAAGAATTGAATGGATTCTTCCCCATTTAGTAAATCTACTTCTGCGGCTCTTACATTTTATACTGATGCTGGTTCTACAGCAGAAACAAGTAAAGTGTTCCAAAGTCTATATGCTTCAGTCAAAAAATCAGAATCATATGCTTTTCTAAAGATTTTATTAGATTTTGATGGGTCAGTCTCTGAATATAATTCCTGATTTTCAATATTCAAGATTAGTTGTATTTTATATAACAACTGTTCAACTTGTTCATGATTATTCAAAATTTACTCTGTTTTTCATACAATTGCCTATTAGGATGGCAATTATCCATTTTTTATCATTCCCATTGTTTTATACTGGATTGACTGGGCCATAAGCAAAAGGAAATGAAGAAATTGATAAAATCTTAATAGAAATTATTTTATAATCCTCAGAATTTTATAAAACATTATGTTACTAGTAAAGTTCTAAAGTAAAAATTTATATTACCTGGTTATAAGCTAAAGAAAGTATAAAAAATTATCCTACTTGTTTTTGGTATAGTTCAATACCTTTACCTGTAAGAAGTAATCCTAAGGATAATCAAAGAAATGAAATTTGGAAAATGTATATATCTCACTTAACAGAATTTGTAAAAAATAAAATATATACTTCATACTATTGATACATACTCAGGATTTCAATGAGTATCTGCCTAAGTTCTGAAAGGGCTGATTCTGTAATTACTCCTTTATTAGAAACAATGGCTATAAAGGGAAAATCAATGCAAGTTAAAGATAAGCACCTGCTTACATTTTCAGTAAAATAAAACATTTGTGTAATTATAACCAAACACAATATGGGGATAGCACATAAACCTGGACAAACAATTGTTGGAAGCTCTAATCACACTTTAAGAGAGATGTCATTTAGATGCCACTTCTGAGGGTCTTTATTTTTAGAGCAAGGCCAATGGTTTGGATGCCAGTGAGTGGCTGACACCATTGCAAGACACCTATGATGATTCCAGTCCAGAAACTCTCTGAAAGAATATTAAGAAGAACTCATAGGATGATTGGATTGATGGTTGCTGTGGTATGGAAATTATTGTATTGACTGTAACTGTTGTCATGCCTGGTCTAGGCCTTCATGGGGTAATTCAGACTACTGAATTGATTAAAGTGTGGCATAAACATGCTGCAGAACTTTGGACTTAGCAAAATAAAATAGATAGCAAGGTAGTCAATGAAATAGATGCTTTGAGACAAGTTGTAATTCTTTTTGTCCTTGTAGAGCAGGCTGGCCTCGAACTCACAGAGATCTGCCTGCCTCTGCCTCCCGAGTGCTGGGATTAAAGGCGTATGCCACCACTGCCCGGCTCATTTTGGTTTTTAAATACATTGAATCTCCAAAGTCAGTTAAACAAGACAGTACACAAGATATACACTTCTATCAAAAGTCTTGGCAGCAGATGGTGATGGTGCATGCCTGTAATTCCAGAACTCAGGAGCCAGAGGCAGGTGGATCTCTGTGAGTTTGAGATCGGTTTGGTCTACAGAGTTACTTCCAGGACAGCCAGGACTGTTATACAGAGAACCCTGTCTCAAAAACATAATAAAACAAAATAACAAAAACAGCAAGTCCAGAGTCCATGGAACATCAAAGCCTTTCAAAAAGCCACAATATACAATGTTCTCAAGATAATTAGTCCTGTGAATCATGGTACTTCATGACACATGGCATCACCTTTACAACAGTGGGGCCATTACTACAATTCTGGGCTGGCGTTGTCCTGCACAAGTAGAGTACATCCCCCTAAAAAGAGTCAACTCCATGGGACTTTCCAGAATACTCACCCCCAGATTTTTCCATATTTTTTATAGCACATAGCATCAAATTTCCATATACCCTGGAATGAAAAATAGCATGAAATTCATTATTGTCCTGTATGTACCAACCCTTCTGTAGCCAGGGAACCAAACCCTCAAATCTCATGTTTCTGACAGAGAAAAGTTCTTCAGTAACGTTTAGTGGCACCAGAAAGATGACTCAGTGGAGAAGGCGGAGTGACAGTGCAGGACACCTGACCCCTTGCTGTGGACTCTGCATGCACAGCCATAGTCATACACATGTGCACAGCAGCATATACACACATAATAATAATAATAATTAATAATAATAATAATAATCTTAATAAGAATAATGAAATTGTTTTGCAGAATTTGCAATCAAAACATAGAACGTCTACAAGAAAATCTGAGCTGACGGTAGTGTGAGCTTTGCCTCTCGCCCTCTGAACGTGAGCTTGGGAACGTCTGCTGTGGACTGACCGTAGGCCAGGTGTCAAAGCAGGTTCATCACAAATGATCCACATAGACTAAAATGTGGCACATGACATGCTTATTACCGAAGTTTCTAACTTCAGTTGTTTTGTTGAATCTTCCTTTTTCCAGTGGTTTTGCCTCAGTATCTTTAAATGAAAATACAAAGTACATTGTGCAGTCCAGTATGTGAGGTGACTGACAGCCACCATCCTGTCTCAGGTTACACACTTGCTGCTCACACTCTTTCACAGGCTGCTGCCTTTAAAGGAAGAGAAGGTAGGTCCACGTCCATGTTAAATCACTTGCTGGCATGTCTAAATCCCTGGATCCCATTCTCAGCACCACAAAACAGAAACAGTACAGAAAAGCTGTCTTTAGGGCTGGAGATGTGACGTCGCAGTTATGAGCACTTGCTGTTCTTCCCGAGGGTACAAGTTCTGTTCACAGAACTCACACCCAACACCTCACAACCATCTGTTTCTCTGGCACCAGGGAATCCTATGCCCTGTTTTGGCCTCTGTATGTACTGCACTTATGTGCATAAACCCACATGGATATACAAAAAAAATCTTCTTTCTAAAAGAAACAGTCACTAACCTGGACCTTAGATCTTACAAAAGAGACAAAAGCAAAATACGCTAAACTCAAGAACCACCACCATGTCGTGAGGAGTAAATGGTGAGACTAGAGCTATAGAAGTTGTTTCAGGGGTTCAATAATTACACCGAGAACCCAAGTACACGAATTGTCCCCCAAAGGTGTGTATTTATGTCTCTGACAACCTGATGCTTCAGAAATATTCAGCAAAAGGAGAAAATGATGCCCATGAGTTGGATACAAAGAGAATTTTATTTAGTTCATACAGTTGATATCCTAGAAGCTGGAAACCCCCTCGAGATTTTCTTCAAATAAATACAGAAGTGCCTTCCTGGAACCTGCCCTGCGTAAGAAATAAACTTCTTTTACTGCTCACAAAGTCTGAGCTCCTGAATATCAAGATTAAATGGGTTGGAGATCTTTGCATTTCACCAAAGACAAACCTGAGGCTCAATAATCTGACATCAGGGCCAATGAGATGGCTCCGATGAGAAGGCATTAGCCACCAACACTGACAACCTGAGATTCATCCCTAGGACTCAGATGGTGGAAAGAGAAAACTGACTCCCACAAATTGTCCCTTGACCTACAAATGCATGCAGTGTTACATACATACTCACACCTAAATTAATAAGTATGGGGGAAGTTGACAATGGGGGCTGTGGAAATGGTTCAGTGGGAAGCCAGAGTTTGAATCCCCAATATCGGCATAAATGACAAATCAGGGTTAAAGTTGTCTTGCAGGAGGCCAAGACAAGGGATCACTGGAGCAAGTTGACTAGCTAAACTAGTCAAGTCAGAGAGAATGGGTTTGTGAGAGACCCTGCCTTAAAGTATAAAGTGAAGAGCAATCAAGAAGACACCCAATACCAACCTCTGGCTTCTACATGCACACGTATATCCATGCATAGGGACCTGCACACATATGGGCACTCATGCACATGTAAATACAGGCATACATACTATAAACACACACACGCACACAGACACACACACACATTTGATAGTTTTACGTTGGCAACAGAGCCCTAAAAAAATCACTGAACATTCTCTTGTATCATGAGAATACACAGTATGAAGGCCTGAAATCACACTATCATTTTCTATCAGGAGCATTTAACAAAACTAAACCATTTTTTGTCCATCAGGAATCAACACTTACCTCATAGTAATTCATCAGAGTTCCTAAAAATGGCAGAGGTTTGGGTCCAGGAATTCCCTGTTTCTTAAAAACATCATGGTTACGGGTCCCGTATCTATAGAGAGAAACAGAAAGTCTTGTGACCACACATGCATCAGAGAGGAGATAAACACGACCAAAACCAAATCATGAAACATACCAACAACATGGCTGTCCCTTCAGTTCCCAGAGCTTAGGGGGGGGTGTGAGGGGTCCAGTGTGCATGGAAGCCCACGGTTTGCATACACTTCAACTGAGTACTGGTGGCTCTAGGTGTAACCTGAAAGTCACTCAGGTCATACCAAGAGTAAATCTAATCCAAAACCCCCCTCACCTCAGCAAGAGGGAGTTGAAAGTGTGTATGTGTGCCCAGCAGATCTGCATAACATAAATATGAACTTTAATAGTTAGTGTCACTGGGGCTTTAGTACAGTGGTAGAGTGCTTGACTACGACATATAGGCTCTGGTTAGAGACCTCTTTCTGCCATAAATAAAAATTCAAAATGAACACAATTATTTCATCTCAGGCCTTCAAGATGACTGCACAGGTAAAGGGATTGACTTCCAAGTTTGACAACCTTAGTCTGACCCACAGGATCCCCATAAAAGGAAAGAAAAGACTCCTCAAGTTTTCTTGTAAGAAACACAAACACAGACACACAGACACACACACACACACACACACACACACACACACTTGTCTCACGTGCTTCCTCTATTCCCATTAAATAAATACATGCAATATCAAAGTTTTTTACAAGAGTTATTTTAATTTCTGTTATCAGTTTCTTAATTGTATTCTGGTTCCTTTGGAAGGCATTACGCCTCCTGGAACAGTAGTTACAGATGATGTGAGCCACATGTGGATAGCAGGATTCTAGCCTGGGTCAAATAGAAGAGCAATCAGTGCTCTTAACCACTGAGCCATCTCTCCAGACCCTGCTTTCCTTGTCACTTTTGACCTTGCACTCAATACCAGAATACAGGTCTGAATACAGCCCCAACCCGAGGACACGGTGGAAGAGGAACTTTGGTGGTTACTCACCGGTATAGGAGGACCAGGCTGATTACCAGGAGGACCCAGGTTTCCAGGGAGAGAATTGAAGTCAGGTCCATTGTTGCTTGGTGTCAGCAATGAGCCCTCTGTGTTCTCCCTCCAGCTGTGTGATACCCTTTGCAAGGCTTCTCTTCCACTAATGGTGCTGAAGTGTGCCCAGCCTGGGGTGTTTATATTCTGGGAAGATGCGGTTCAGGTCTATGCATGGCCGGGACTTTGGTCTCCTGGATAGATCATGAAGTTCATCACAGCCTATTTTGACCTTTTGTGAGTTAACATTCTGTGTGTAGTCAATACACAATGTTGACATTTCAGGAAGACCAAAGGTTATTTTTTTTAAATCAAAAATTCGAGCAAATTTATTGACATGACATGCCCTTTCACCAAGGATGGCTTATGTCAAAAACACATGAAATAAAGTCAAAATTGTTCTATCTGTGTACAGATCTTTACAGAATGTCTTTCTCCTTCCCTGTAAGATACTTCATTATTTTTCAGAACTCAACTTAGAAAAAAAATTAGTCTCTTTGAATCTGTCCTCACCTGTGCCCCTAAGAAATAAAACCACTTCTCCTGAGGTATGTCTCCTTCACATGCATCTCCTTCCCTCCAGCCCAGCACTGAGAGTCTTCCCGTACAGCACCCTTACTAGGTTGTGATAATATTCTGAGTAGCAGTGACCCAATATGTAATAGAGTGGTCATTCAGACCTGTCAACTTAAGTTGGGAGAGGTGCTGGGTTGAGCAGGTTCCAATTATGTGTTAAAATGTTTTTGATTAGTTTCTAGTAAATGTTACGGGACCCTTTTTTGAGTGATGAGAATGCTCTAAAACTCACTGACTGTGTAGCTTGTATAACCACATAGAACCACATTTAAAACATTGAACATTACTCTGTGAATGGATAAATCATGCAGTGTACGAATATGTGTGTATTCATATTCTGATGAATTGCTTAAAGCTTATGTTTTGCTTAAAATTTTTATTTTTATTTGAGACCACTAATGTTTGTTTGTTTGAGAAAAAGAAAATCCAGGAGTAGTGATAAGAATCAGCTGGGAGAGTGGCATCTCAGCAGTTACAAAGCCCTGACTCCATCCCCAGCACCATGTAATTGGTGGTACACTTCTGTAATTCCAGAACTGAGGGAGTAGAGGCAGGGGGATCACAAGTTCAAAGAGGAAATTCAAGGCTACATAAGGAGTTTGAGACCAGCCTGGGGGGCATGAGACCCTGTCTTGGGGAACAAAAACCACCAACAAAACCAAAGTCTTCTACTCCTTCAAAATACCAAAATTCATTACTTGCTTCTCCATGCTAGTGGTCATTATGAGATGAGACAGACCTTACCTCTTCCTGCTGGACTGTTTGTAATGATTTTTCTGTCTCTTTAAGAGACAAGCCAAGTCCACTCCCTTCCTGCTTGCAGCCTCAGAGCTCCACTTTCTCTTCTTCCTGTCCCCTCTCTTGGAGAGGCAGCCTCTCTCTCCCCTCCCCTTTTTCCTTCCCCTCCATTATCCACCTAATAAATGTCTAACTTTACTCTGTATGGTTTGTTTATCTGTGTCTCTAGCCCAACTGCCGCAGTCACATGGAGACCTGCCACGTGGCCTCTTGTGACCTCCCTGCTTGAGACTGGCCGCTTTTGGGACCCCAGCAGCTTGCAGGAAACCCATCTGCATGGTATGCCTGTCTGTCTGCCCCTTGCCCACATGCCACCCACATGGCTAGCCAGCCGCTGGGGATGTCCAGGGGACCAGCCACCTTTGTTTGTTGGCCTGCCGCTGGACCCACAGCAAATCCATAATACTTTTGACACCTAACAGGTCCTGGGTGAGAGGGAGGCATTGTAGCATTTGTGTGTTAGCCTACTGGTGAGTGGTGAGTCCACAGGCTCTAATGGACAGTTCTAAACCCATGGTCACACAGATGGCACTAGTTAAAGCTTGTAGGACACAGAAGAAATCATGAATATGGGAAAGATTTGCAGGGAGGAAGTAAGATTGACAAGCTTGGGAGGGAAATAAGTGAGAGTGGAGAAAATTATCCAGAATTCATTATATACAGGTTGTCAGACAACAAAATTTATTAAGTAAAAATAAGTGCAGGACTCTGTGTTGGGGATGTAGCTCAGTTGAGAGGGTTCTTGCCTAGTACTCAAAAACCCTAGGCTGGATCAACAACACCAGCGAACATGGCCGGGTGGTGGTTCTAATCCCTGCCCTCCAGAGGTAGAGACAGCAAGATCAGAAGTTCAAGACCATTCTTGGCTACTTAGCAAGTCTGAGGCTAACCTGGACTACAGTGATAGGTCCTGTATTAAAAAAAGCACATAGCCCTCCAATAAGGATATCAATGTTGTGCCCAGATTACGACCCCCAGAGAGACCACCACAAACCACAGAAGACCAGACTGTAAAAAGCAGGGTTTTTCTTGCAAGGTATCTCAGAATCTGTCTCCACCACCCAGTCGCAGCGAGGTAGAGAGGAGTTAAGAGTTTCTTTCTGGGGTTTCCTTTTTTTTTTTGATTTTCGGGACAGGGTTTCTCCATAGCTTTTGGTTCCTGTCCTGGAACTAGCTCTTGTAGACCAGGCTGGCCTCGAACTCCACCTGCCTCTGCCTCCCGAGTGCTGGGGTTTGCTTTTTTAAAGGCAAAATTCACAAGCAGGCCTTCTGGGTGGTGGTGGGGGGTTAGCACATGTGTAAGGGCTTTGCTTTCTCTCCTATCCTGTTTAGTCTTTGTTTTCAGAGCAAGTCACCCTGCCTCTGAGTCAGGCCATCTTTATCAGCCCCGTGGCTGGGTTTCGTTTTCCTTTTCAACTTCCAAGGATATTATCTTTCTGGGAACATAAAGTTAGTCTGCACTTTCTGATTTTAAAACATTCTGGTAGGAAATTCCTTCTTAACCCTTTAAGAATAAGGCATGAGGGTCTCACATCAGTAGACAAAGACTCCAGGTTTTTCAATAAACAACATTATATACAGCATTTTTAATAGTTGTATATTTTAATATACAGTATCACATCTGCATGTTTTTTGTTTATTGATTATTGATTTAAAAAATATTTTTTTTATATACCAACTCCACTTTCTCCTTCTCCTGCCTTCCAGCCTCCCCCTCTCCATATTTATCTTCTCTTCAGGTGGGGCAAAGCTTTTCTTGGGGAGTCAATAAAGTCTGGCATACTAGGATTTGACAGGATCAAGCCCCTTCCCCCCGTTTCAAGGCTGAGCAAGGTTTCCCACCAAAGGGAATGGGCTCCAAAAAGCCAGTTCATGCACTTGGCACAGGTCCTGGTGTCACTGCTAGCTCCCCCTTAACATATCAAGTCACATAACTGTCACCCACATTCAGAATACCTAGTTCAGTCCTGTGCAGGTCTCCCAGTCAGTCTATAGTCTGTGAACTCCCACTAGCTTAATTCAGCTTTATCTGTGGTTTTCCCCATCATGCTCCTGACCCCTTTGTTCATATGATCCCTCCTCTGCCTCTTCAAATGATCTCCATGAGCCCAGCCCTGTTGAAAAAAAAGTACATGGTCCTTTAATAAGGAAATCAGTAGAGAGGGACTCCAGATTTTTAAATATACAGTATTATATGCAGTATATACAGTATTTTTACATATATTTACATGTATATTTTAGCATGCACTATTTTATCTACATGTTCTCTATATAATTTCATTCTGTGGATGTAAACAAACAAATGCTGCTGGGGATGTAGCTCAGTAGAGCATATGAGTAGCATGCATGATGTCCTAGATTCAATCCCCTTTAGCAGGGGAAAAAAATTCCAAATCCACTAAGTTGAGGCAGCATTGGTAAAACTTTGGGTGGGTGAGACGGCTTAGCTGGTAAAGGTGCTTGCTGCCAAATCCTGATGACCTGAGGTTGTCCCTGTGGGAATAGAGTATCAACTCCTGCAGGATGTCTTCTGACCTCCCCGTCCTGCATGCCATGGCACAGTCAGAAACACAAAGAAAGGACAAATATTATAAAAAATTAAAATAACATCAAAACCATGTACTCTGTTATTTTTCCTGTAGAGAAAAACCATGTACATGGGTTATATACCTGTCCAACACACTGACCAGGTGATGACTGTTGGCATAGATTCCAAGTACTCTGGTCATGTCCTGTAATGAGCAGGGCAGATGGCTGGAAATGGGCCTAAGGCTTCATACTTCCTGGAGAAGTTACTGACACCCAGTTCTTTTTCATTACTCTGGTCCTATTTATCACTCAGGATCTCCCAAGTCCTCCAACTCAATCAGGCTCCAAGAGCTCCTGATTGTAGGACGGAGCACTAAGAAGGAAGGATTTTACAGAATTTACCAACCATTGTGGCTTTGTGGTCTAAAGATTACATTATTTTATCGACTGGAGTAGAGAGTGTGGAAGATCACTCAACCACAAGTGCATGCACACATATGCACCCTATACCAACAAAGCTTACATCAGACTATGATATCTAAAGTTTACTGTTCTATGTACTTTGCCCACATTAATTGATAGCATCTATTTCTCAAACTATGTCCAAATGATCAATATTCATCTCAGGTTAAGTAATTAATCTCTAATGCAACAAGGATCCAAGAGATCATGTGGCTGCAAAGCTCACAGTCTCCATCTTTTTATTTGCAATTTTGAAGAAAAAAATGCATCATCACCCTTACTCTCTTTCCTCCCATTCCTTCACTCCATGTCAATATTATGATCTCTTTGTAATTATTGTGATTTCACATATATAAGCTTAAATATATAAAAACAACATGCTGAGTCCATTTAATGTGGCTTGTTTGCATGGTTTCAGGGCTGACCACTCTGTACCGGACAATCAATTAAGAGACCCATCCCTAGGGAAGACTAATTCTCCCTCTCTCAGCAGTTATTAATTGCCTATAGGTCATCATTTAGGGGTGAGGTCGTGTGAGATTCCCCTGTTTGTATTAGCATGTCTATTAGTGATGTCAGTGTTCAGATCTTGTTAAGATAACAATATTTTGTTATTTCACGGGTGTTACTTCCTATCATTTCTAGGAGACACTATCTTATAGTAGACTTCCTGGTCCTCTGACTCTTACACACACACACACACACAAACACACACACACACACACAGAAACACATACATTCTCACACACTCATAGTCATGCCTACATTTGCAT